GTGAGGTGTGGAGGGGACTTGCTGGAGGCCAGCAAGACATCACCAGCCGTGGCAGATGTGGTCGTGCTCCTGCGGGAAACCTGCCCCGAGGCTGCCTTGTCTGCCTCTAGAAACAATGATTTCCTCACCGTCAGGGCACTCCCCTGCCTCTGCCTCCGGGGCTTAGAGCCGCCTCCCCACCTGTTCACCCCTCCAGCTTCTTTCTTGCATTTGGTTTCTTGCCTTGCCCCAGCTCCCTTTTGAAGCGAGACCTGCGGTTGTTGCAGTGTCCGGAGTCCTGTACCCACTCCCGTGGTGGGGCTCGCCCTCTAGTTACTGCATAAGCAGTTCTTCCAAAAACGGATCAGTAGCCCTCCCGCCACGTATCTCTGTGTGGTGTCGTCCCAGAGGTCCGTCGGTGCCTCCGTTTTGTGTGTTCAGCTACAGGTGAACATGAAGCCAGTTTATTTTGCCAGTTTGCATATGAATGAGCCTTGTGTAAATTAAAAAGATACCAACATTTATTTGGAGTATGGCTTGTGACACTTAACGTGACCTACGACATCTCGCCGATGATGACAGTTGACCTCTATTGGATCTTCTTATGTCTAACAGTGTCCTATTTTCTAAAAACCTTCCAGTCTAAAGTATCCTCACAACATGGACCTCTTGCAAATTCCAATAAAATGCCCACCCTCCCCCACGTTTTTGTTACATGGTTGTTAGACCCCCCCCCCACCTTTCCCCACTGCAATGAGAAGTAATGCTGGGATTTGCGGGGGATTCCTCAGATCTCCTTTATCCCCTTTGTTAGAGATTCAAGTTTGTTATCACGATACAGGCTGAGTTCCATCTGGAGTCTGGTTGCTAGATTCGTTTGCGGTGGGGTTTATTTCTCAAGACTTTCAAGGTATTCTGGCAGTTGACATTCAAATAAAAAGTGTTTACCTTGACTTACCAAGTAATGACTAAGGTTTGTTGGGGTTTTTTTTAACAGTTTCTGCTTTTTTTTTTTTTTTTTTTTCTCCCCTTAGTATGAAAACCCATGGACTATCCCAAATCTATTGTCCCTGGTGCGAATTGGTTTGGCACCAGTTCTGGGATACTTGATTGTTGAAGAAGATTTCAATGTTGCACTCGGTGTCTTTACTTTGGCTGGAATAACAGACCTGGTATGTTGTGTAATAACAGCGTTGAAATGTGCTGCGGTTGCCAACTTTAGTTTTAAGTCGCATCAAAACCACATAAAGAATTCTCTAGTTCATTTGATCTTTGATAACAAACTTTGTAATGAGACTGGCTAGTATGCATATGGTTTTCTTGAAGTGTCTGCTAAAGCTCACATTATCATCCCTTATAAAGGATCCTTTTGTATTACTTTACTGTCAAGGGGCCATAAAGGTTCTCTAAACAGGTAGCTGAGGATCACCTAGCGGGCACTATACAAACCTTTCATTTATATGTGAAGCCAGTCAGCTGCCTGTGTCACTTATTAATTTGTATGTGCTCAAGTAGTAATGATACATGACTGTTAGACATATATTTTGCTTGCTCTGCTCAAACTTCTGGGATCAGAGTAAGGTGGAAAGAG